CAATTGTTGACATTTGTAGAACATAAAATTCTTTATCTTCCTGACACAACCATTTAACTTTCTTATCAGTTATGCTAAACAATTGGATGAATCTTTGAGTTCCGAGTTTTCGACTATCTTTGGCAAGTTTTTTCAATTCATTTTCTATTTTTATTTTTTTTCTGATGTTGATTTCCCTTGCAGAATTGGAATATTAAAATTTCTCCATAATAGTTTAGTTTCTTTAGCCAACATTGCAAATCTCTCCGTTCTGTTTTTCACATTTGATGACAAACTTTTAAATTGATCAATTTAAAAGTTCTATTTGCATTTTATTCATTTCACCAATACTTTTAACAACAGCACATCTTCTTTAGGTGTTAGCTTTTCAAACCTCACTAAATTAGATTCCCAAACTTTCTTAATCTTGTCTAAAGCAAGACCATATTTGGCCACTTTTGTATACCTGTTATGTTGTTTTTAACTTATAAAAATAACAAAATAAGGAAAAATTTTCAACAATGGGAGTGATCTTTTTAAACATTAACATTAAAAACTTCTATTCTCTGTTAGAAAGTATAATTTCTCGACTCATGGTGACATGGGTAATAAAAAAATTTTATAAAAGATATTTATTCATACCCTTAATATACATATGGCGCTTTGTACGATGGTGAAACAAAGAATATGATAACAACACAAATAGCAGAACATCAAAAAATGAAGCTAAATCAAACTGTAAAGTCTCTAGAATTGTTAAACATGTACAACATTGCAAAGGTACAATAACTTAGAATAATCCTAAAAAACTTTCAGTTATTTTAAATAATTATCTCAATTATTTAAAAATATACAAAAAATCAGGAAGCAACTGAAATAGACAAACTCCACTGTTGCTACCCAAAAATAAAATTTTAAACCGGGATAATGACAAACTAGTGATGACTCACAGTTGATAAACATTTTTTGTTAAGCTTAAAAAACCTATTTAATATTACGCAGCAATAACATCATTATTGTAAATAAAGAATTTTTGCAATATATTTTAGTTTCAAAATGGATAACTATGTGAGAAGAAATATCACATTAAGAATTTAAAAATTTCAATTTTTTAATTCTCATAAATAAAGTTAAATTTTATTAATTTAAAGTTAAATAAAAAACATGTCACCATTATTGATGTATTCTCAATTTTTTATTGAAATTTTATCATACTATTAAGATGTCATTAAAATGTTATATATATATATATATATATATATATATATATATATATATATATATATATATATATATATATATATATATATATATATATATATATATATATATATATATATATATATATATATATATATATATATATATATATATATATATATATATATATATATGTATATATATATTTAGGTGAAGAATTGTTCAGAAGTATTGTCTAATGGCATATAGTGAAGCCCATAAAATTACCTAACTTTAATTTTAGTTCATCTTTTAGTTTTACTTTTTTTTTCCCTATGTAATATTTTCTACTTTTTCCAAAGAGTTTTTATCTATTAGTATAGCAATATTTTTTCGATCACAACAAGTTTTTGAAATTTAACATTTGCTTTTTTCCATTAAGCAAAAACAACTAGAAATAGATTTTTAGCAAGATCTCTGTTCAATAAATTGTTGTAGTGTACATTATTTTGTTTTTCAGTATAATTCCTTTTTAAATAACTTCTCTGTTTGTAAGCAGTTTGATAGAAATAAAATCCTTTTCCAGGTCTATTAAACTGTAAAATTTTAGTCATGAACAAATGTCTGTTTATAGTTTTTAAGCCAATTTATAAAAATAAATAACAAGTAACAAAGTAAATAATAACAGACTACGATCTTGTAAAGATTTTTAACGGTGGAGACATATGTCTATATATATTTTAAAATTGATTTGCCACTGCGCTTTTTATTCATAAAAAACAGTCTTATTCGAAAAAAAAAGGCTATATGTATTTTATACAATCTAAGTTTTAATTTATCCTAATAGTATAAATGTAAAAATTTGGGTATCAAGACGTTTTCTTATCCAAAGTGGTGGTCCAAAGTAAACTTACCTTGAAAGTTAGATTTTAATAAAGATTCATTTTTTTAAAAGGTTAACATTTTTTAAAATATAAGAATCTCATTGTGCCTTAGTATGATCGCTAAAATACTGTTGGACAAATAACCTATGCTATATACAACTCCCAGCTAGCGCACTTACGTTTGACGACGTATGTAAATACATCGCGACGTCAGCTGTTTCCTCTGATGCAAATACAACGTTTATCCAATGTTAGTTTTATCGTATTTATATTAATGAAAACTTTTATAACGGCTCAAAATTACATAGATTCAACATATCTAGAAATAACGCAAGTATTAATTATTTTTCGGATCGAAACCCAATATTGATCCAATGTGTTGGGATCAACGTTGATTTAATGTAAAGAAATCAACGTTGACCAAATATGTGTGACCCCAAATTGATCTAATATGTATAGACCAACGCATGTATAGCAATATATTCAACCCCAAATCGATCCAATATATATGGTGGATGAACGGTGATCCAATGTTTGTAACCCAACGTTAATCTCATGTGTATGTATTAATATTGGATTGTATACATTTGACTAATGTTGATCCATATAAATTTGAATAACGTTGGATTATATACAGTGGATCAAGGTTGGTTTGCATCGAGAAAAGGTAGAAATACAAATATATGTTTGTGTAATTTATAAGAACTATTTTTATACAAATATATCAGTTGATTGTGGAAGTAGAGTGGGTTATGACGCTCCTTAGGTAGGCGAACCTGTCTTTGAGGGGCTTGGTAATGTGGCCTCTATATGGCAATTAGCTGGAGGAGGATAAACCACAATACCAGTGTATAACCCTGAAGACAAGGAAAGTTGAGGAAGAGTTCATGTTAAGTGAACTCCAATCACAATTTTGTTAAAGCAATTTACTTAGGTTAACCTAACTAACAGTACGTTATAGCACCTTTCAAAGTAATTATAACCTAGTTGATGATTTTTGTTATAAGTTTTACAACAAAAGAAAATTCACATGGCGCAATCAGACGGTTAAATGTAGACTCTAGAGAATTTACTGTCCTAAAAGTCGCCAAAAAACATTCAAAAGATAAAGTCGCCAAAAAACATCATGCACAAAAATTCTCATCGATCCCTTTACCGACCACGAGTTCGTGTCAACAACTGTCAATTTTGTAAAACTAGAAGAGAACAAGGTTACTGGATATTAAGTTGCTCCCTGTTAGAAATAGAGGTGCATAGGCAAAAAGTTGAATTCTTTCAAGATTGACAAACAAAAAAAAGGTCCTACGAGTCTATTTTAAAATAGTGGGACGACTGCAAACTTTTTGTTAGAACTGAATTACAACACATATTGATACAGGAAAGTGCGAAAAACAAAAAACACATCAAAAGGATTGAAAATGAAATTCAACGGGAGCGACAAAACGCTAACCCGAATTTAGATAGCATCAAAGAAAAACGCGATGCTCTTTTCTCGCTTCAGTTTTACGGAGCATTTATTTATTATTACGGAGCTTACGAAATACTTTTCGTAGGAAAAAATACCAGCCACTTTATGAAAAAATCATTACTTCACTGATTTCCAAACAAGGAGATCTTACTAAATGTAAAAATTGGAAGCCCATATCCTTAATTAGAGCTGATTACAAAATATTCACAAAAGCGTTGGCTCTAAGACTTGCAAAAGTAATGGGGAAAATAATAGAACGAAACCAAATTTGCGTAATACCAAGTAGAATAATTTTCTCTAATTTACATTTAATCCATGATCTAATAAATTACGCGGAATTTAAAAATCTACCTAATTTTATTTTGTCAATAGATCAAGAAAAGTCGTTTGACAAAATCGATCGTGTGTTACTGCTGCAGATTATCCAAAAATTTATTCTCCAAAAACTTAATTAGAAAATTTTGTATCTTTTGTTAACACCCTATATTCAGAAATTTTGGCATCGGTTCTGAATTGTGGTTTCTTGTCCCCACCGAAATGGAAGTTAGACAAGACAACCCCCACTCTCTTTTGTTGTATTTTTTTTGTCGCCAAAGCCCTTGCTTTGGTGATCAGAGCAGACAGCAGAATTGAGGGATTCCCACTACCAGGAACACCGAAAGCCCTTAATTTACAGCAGTACGCAGACGATTTGAACTTTTTTGTCATTAACGTAAAGTCAGTCCGCTTTTTTTCAATACAATAAAACTATTTGAAAGAGCAAGTGGTTCAGAATAAACCCAGAATTGGACAACATAGAGTTGACCAACAACACCGGTTTCAAAATGTTAGGTGTTACGTTTTACACCAGACTGAGTAATACTACGAACTTCAACTAGCTAAAAAAAAAAAAAAAAGTAACTCTAAAAAAGAAAAAGTAACTTTATACTGCAAAACAAAAAATAAAATATTAGTCAAAAACGGGTCCGTTTTTAACATCCCTTCTAAAATCAAAAAAAAAAATTATTTAGAAGTGGCAAAAAACAAAAAGACAGTCGTGTCAGCAGAACTTTTTTGGAACGGTTCAACAAAAACAACAATGCCGTGGGCCCAAATTTTGAAAAGAAATTTTACCTCCAACGCATACGGACCGACACAAAATATCCTCTTTTGATATCTACATAACAGTTTACCTTCTGCGGCCTTGCTAGCCAAAAGCACAAGGCAACAGATTGTTAAAAATAACAAATGCAAAACTTGTGGCAACTACGTAAGGACAACTGCGTAACACTGCGGACATTTTTTGTCAAAATTTTTGTATTAAGAATAGTTTTAGCCAAGCAAAGAATGGAAATCTGAAACTAAACATATGAGCTAAAAAAAACATCAGCTCATAGCAAGATCTGCCTGTTTAGTAAAGATTTCTTCTTCTCTGCCAATATTTTTCTTATATACAACCAAATTTATTATTATATATGATTATAAAATCACTGCCAGCCCTTACCTTATGATATATTAATTTAACATATAAGTATTATCTATAGAGTTCGTAGAGTAAATTTAGTGTTACCGTCCTGCAATTTTTTATTTGTTTTAATAAAAATCTTTTCACAATTTCCACGAACAATTTCTTTCCGCACAACAGCCTTTATATAAAAAAACAAAAATCACAAAAAAATATAAAACCAAAAAACAAAAAAAAATTATAAAATTTAAAAACACAAAAACAATGTGTATAAAGAAAAATATAAATAGAAATGTCAAAACAAAAAAATAAAAAAACTGTTGTAAACAGTATATATTCAGATGAACATTTGTAAAACATATATATTGTAAAACCATAACTTTATGTTAACCTGAGATAGTATAATTTTATAAAAGTGTAAACAAATAATTGTTTTATAATAAAAAATAAATAAAAATAAAATAAAAGAATTCATATCAAGTGAACTCCAATCAAATCTCTGTCGGCATACATTTTATAGGTGACCTAACTAACATTACGTATTGCACCTTCTAACGTCGTGTGCGATCCTGTCCTCATTCTCTATGCTATCTTTCTAACTCAATTACTTCTGTCTTTCACGCTAATATATCTTTGTTCTTCCCAAACTTACCTTACTCTCGGTCCGTAGAGCCGGGTATGATGCTCCTTTCGGAGGTGAACCAGTCTTTGCAGACCTTGGTAATGTGGCCTTTTTATGGCAACTAGCTGGGAGTAGATAGACCAAAACAACAGTATATATTTAAAAAGTAAAGAAAGGAAAAAGGAAGTTGAGGAAAAAGTTATATCAAGTGAACTCCAATCAAGTCTTTGTCGGCAAACATTAATTGACCTAACTTACAAAGTTGTAAATTTATGTAAACTGTAATAACTATAAAACGGTAAAATATAATGTTAAAAAAATAAAAAAAAAAGTGCTGTTAACGTTCATTAAGTGACCTAATTAACAATATATATTGCACCTTCAAACACCGTGTGCATTCGTGTCTGCTTTCTCTATACAATAGAGGAAGTCGTGTTAGAAAACACGACTTCCTCTATCTTTAACTCTAATATATCTGCATTTTTCACAAACTCACATTACTCTAAATGCGTAGAGTTGGTTATGACGCTCCTCTAGGAGCTGAAGTAGTTTTTGCAGGTCTTGGTAAAGTGGACTCTGTATAGCAACTAGCTGGAGGAGGATAAATCACAATACCAGTATATATTTAAACATGCATTTTCTAACAACGTATACAATTCTGTCTGGTTTCTCTATGCTATATTTCTAACACAAGTTCTTGTGTCTTTTACTCTAATATATCTTTGTTTTTCTTAAACTTACCTCCGTATAGCGGGATATGACGCTTCTTTCGGAACTTTGCAGGCCTTAGTAATGTGGCCTTTATATGGCAAATAGCCGTAAGAGGATAAACCACTATACCAGTATATATTTAAGTATGTATGCATCTTTTTATTAAACATATATATATATATATATATATATATATATATATATATATATATATATATATATATATATATATATATATATATAACTTATCTCATCTTCTGATTCTTATTCAGTTACTGAGTCAGATTTAGAAGATGAGGTAATTTGTTAAGCAGAGGCTGTAACTTTTTTTTTTACCCTACCTGAAATAATCTAACTGAATCCTAACTTTTCAAACATTTGTAACAACTACGTTTTAAGTAAATAGAAGCAATTTTTATACTGACTAACTATATTGCATACCAGTCAGCGACTTTAACACTTTACGTCAATCCAATTCTGAAGTTGCTTTATTGAAATAGCAATCATAATGAGGTGATAATGAGTTTTAGTACCACTTCATTTATAATTGCTAATATATTATAACAGCTCTAGGATATGATTGACGTAAAGTATTAAAGTCGCTGATTGATATGCAATAGGATTGGTCAATATAAGAATAGTTTCTATTTACTTAAAATATAGCTGATGCTATTTGGTTTTTATTTTTGTTTTTAGAACCAGATAAATAAAGTAACTTATCTCGTCTCTCCACCTACTTTCAGGCAAGTTTGTACTTTCTTTCTGCTAGACACATTCATTAATATTTTTCGGATTTAATTCTACAACCACCTTTGTAGTATTCATTTTTTTTTTTTTATTGAAGATAAATATGGTTTTAAATTTTTAAATGCTGCATTTATCAAGTAAAGTTAATGAAACTAGTTAAATTTCTAAAGTGTTCAGCCCACCAATATGCGCATATTGCTTACATTTTTCATTTAAGTCATATGAAATCGGTCTTTTAATATCTATTCCACTGAGTTGTTATATGTTTATATTATAAGGTTCTATATTATTTATTCTTATTCAATTCCACTTCATCTTTTTTACCTTTTAAGTGCTGTCATGTTTGTTTTTTTATGTTTTTTATAATTTTTTTAGCCTTGTTTTGTTATTCTTCTTTCCGCTCTAAAATACCCTTGCAATTAACGGTAGTTTTGTCTAATTGTTATAAGACCTTGAAGGTGTAAACATTAAATTAGAAGTTGTATATTAAACAAAAACTTTTTTTTTATTAGTATTCTTACTTAATGCTCAAAGATTTTTACTTTTTGTTATTTTTAAATTCACAATAAACATGAAGCTAGTTTATTCTAGCTTTATGTTTATTTTAAATTAGCTTCATTCACTATAAACATTTAGCTAGTGTTTTGCTAGAGAAAACTAATTTTTTTCAACTTTAGGAATATTTTAGTCTCGTCTAGTTATTCGTGAATCAGATTTATTTAACATATATTTATTGTTTTTTTCATACAAAAAGAGCAGATGCAAAAAATATAACATGAAATACAATAGCTTGAATAATATCTTAAGGTTGCTGTTAGTGGGTCTAGTATTATACATTAAGCTAGTTGCTTTTAAAAATTATGATATTTTATATTTTATATAACTAAGTTCAATATATATTTTTAAAATAATATACTTACCCTGGTTTCCATTTTTAATTCTGAGATCTTTAATGAAACCATCTTGGACCTTATACCACGGGTCTGAGGCATACACTTTAACGTTTTGAAAAGATTGCGGACTTTGATTATTTGTGGTATAAACATTTATTCCATTTATAAACACAACAAATGTGTACACTCCCTTTATTTGAAACTGCGATAATCGTATACTTGACCATAAATTTAGCGGTAAAGGTTTGGAAATAAAGAGAGCGCTAAGACTGATAGAACTATTAATTGCTGAACAAATATATAATCTTCCTGAACCATCATTAGTGAAAAATATAGCAGGAGTTCTAGATCCATATTCTCCAAAGTCATATTCCGTAGTAAAATGAATGACATTTGTATGTCCGTAAAAAAACGATGTTGGCTTAAGTTTAAATGAAACTATATATGTTTTTTCCAATAATGACAACATTGTAACTATGTTATTTTCAGTTAACAAACTTTCTCTATGATCATTGAGTAAATCTAAGAAAAAAAAATTATATATATATAATATATATATATATATATATATATATATATATATATATATATATATATATATATATATATATATATATATATATATATATATATATATATATATTCCTTTTTCACTATATTTATTTTTAAATATTGTATTTTGTTTTTTTACTAATTGAGAGTATTTGTTCTATTAATTAATATATCTACTTTTTTCTTTTTTAATTTTTAAATATTATATCCTTTTTTTTACTTTTTTTTTGCTATATTTTCTACTTGGTATGTTGACCATATTTTACTATAGCTGATATAATCTTTAGTGGTTTTATGTGAAGATAATGTTGTTATTTTTCCATCCGAATCTTCTTTGAGTCCTTGTGATTTTATTATTTATATCTTAACACATATTTTTACTTTTTTAAAAGGTAATTGTAGTTTATACAAACAGAAAAATAAAAACTTGTTAAATAATTGCAAAAAATCATTATATTTATTCCAGGCGTAGCGTTGAATGCTGTACTTGTGTGTTAATTTATGAATGTTTTTTTGAGAAAAATGTTGAATTATTCCAATTTGAAATGGTACTTTGATTCAATTGAAAGTTAAATAATCACTCATATTTTGATATAATAACGGAGTTAGGAAACAATTAAACAGAAAAGAGGTATATCTTGAGAAGGAATACGTCTCTTCTATATTCCAAAGTTGAAAAATTGAAAAGTAAAGAAAAAACTATTTTTAAATGTTACAATTTTACGAATGAACATTGCAATGAAGAACATATTAAAGGACCTACTAATTTTACAAATTCTGCATATGAGGCACTAGACAATATTTATCCAAGAAAAAAACGTATTTGCATTCAAATTTTTTTTGGACACCCTAGTTAAACCGTAGTTAAAATGTTCTTGCATTTTATTTATAAAAATGGCCGGAAAATGGTTTTGTAAAAGATTCAAACTCGATAAATTTTAATTGATATCGGATGGCACGAAAACTTTTCTGTGACGCTGTCAAAAATGTTCAACACAAAAACTGTATATATATATGCAAATACAAAATTTTTTGGAACATTTTCGGAACAATAAGGAATAATAAAAACTTGATAATGTATACCAAAACAATAAAAAAGATAGACTCTATGACGAGAATTTGCTAATAGTTTGGAGAATCGCTTGAACTCAAAAAAAACTACTTATGGAACCTTCGACAAATTTTAAAATTCCACTTTGTACAAAATCGCACGAGGTAATAATTTCCGATAAAAACGGTTATTTCTTGCTTAAATTTAAATAAATTTAATAAACCTTTTGGAATCTCAGCTGAACATACAGAATAACTCAGAAAATTTTTTATCAATTTTTTTTATCAAACCTTTGACAAATTTTAAAATTCCACTTTGTACAAAATCGCACGAGGTAATAATTTCCGATAAAAACGGTTATTTCTTGCTTAAATTTAAATAAATTTAATAAACCTTTTGGAATCTCAGCTGAACATACAGAATAACTCAGAAAATTTTTTATCAATTCTATCAGTCATGTACAGACCCAAAATACGTCATAGTCATGTACAGACCCCAAAATTGATGTCTATATCACTTATTATACGACATGCTAATTCTTAAAAAAATCCTTAATTCAAATAACTATCACTTCCATTTTTACGAAATTTATAGAATATCTATTCCTCACAATCTGTCCAGAAATAAAAGTTGTTCATCCTCTTTAACTTGGTTTTACTGAGTTTAGTTCAACCTTACCCAGCCAACATTGACAGACGGGTACCGTATGGTTTTTGTTTGGGCTTACGGGAGCGGGATTTTGACGGCTAAGTGTTTTGGTTTCCAGACGGGTCTCACATAGTAATAAAATCAAGCATATTATCTCTTTCGGGTATTATCTGGTTTTTATTAGGGCCGAATTAATCTAGGGATTTGAAGGGTTTCCCATAAGGTTCCCAAAGGTTTAAACTAATAATTAAAAAAATCGTAACAAAACTTACTCAATGGTTGCCATTTATAATTCGTATTGTGCGTGAAATAAATTTAAAAACTTAACTTTTATGCACTATATTCTTCGTATTCATTATATTTACATTTAAACTAAGGAGAAAATATTTTTTTGACGTATTTTTTTACTTTGAAACCCCGTTAAAAAAACTTTGATTTAAAATTTCATGTAGTAAATATTCCATTGAAACACTGTTTGTATTTTTAAAATGATCAAAATATAAAGTTTTGTTTCTTCTAGCGATTGTAATAACTGGTTTGAGTTTAATCAAAATATTGGTCTAGTCAGAAACATTTAAAAAGACCAAACACGCGAATGGAATGTGATGTATATGTTATATTTAGGGAATTAAAAGCTTTTAAATCGTTTTTACAGATCCACTCTTTTCCATTGATTTTTCTATATTTTTTGAAAGCAAAATAACTGATGTTAACGAAGTTTACCCACCGTCAGATATAAATAAAGATATAATTAAGTGTTTAAATGCAAAAAAATGGCTTTATTGTTATACATCAACCTAATTTTTTAATCATTGATATTTTTTGACTTCGATATAAAATTGTACACTTGTAATATTAACAATAATTTCATAACATACATAATAATAACTTATATTTTTCATACCTATACTTGTAAATACTTGTAGTATAATACTTATGTTTATAATACTGACAAAATTTTTATTGATAAGAACTTTTGCATCCAAACTTTATTTATAAAACTTTAATTTAACTTGATAACTTTAACATAAATAACAATAACTAAAAAAAAAAGTTATTATATAGATTGTAACCATATGTTTATTTATTATACAGGAGTTGTAGCAAGTTAAACACAGTTTTCATTTTCCATAACTTAATTTTTAAATGTTGGAATAAAATTGTTAAGTTAATAAAAATGTTAAGACAAAAGGGTTGCTCGAATAAACACGTGAAAGAAGATAAACAGAAGTTTAGTATTCCTTATTTTGATACCAGTAATCATTGCATTGAGACAGTCTACAGTTTAAAAGTTATCAAAGTTTAGAGTGTTTTATTTCAGCTAATGAAAGTAATAATTGTTTTGAAATGTATAAGTAAATATGTATATATATATGTATATATATACATATATACATATATGTATATATATATATATATATATATATATATATATATATATATATATATATAATATGTATATATATATATATATATATATATATATATATATATATATATATATATATATATATATATGTATATATATATATATAAACATATATATATACATATATATATACATATATATGTATATACATATATATATATATATATATATATATATATATATATATATATATATTATATATATATATATATATATATATATATATATGTATATATATATATATATATATATATATATATATATATATATATATATATATATATATATATATATATATATATATATATATATAGACATATATAGAGTTTAGGGTGTTTTATTTCAGCTAATGAAAGTAATAATTGCTTTAAAATTTCAAAAAAAAAATAGTAAGGATAAAAAGGTTTTAAAAAGTAGACAAACCTTATGACAAATATGTTATGTTTAAGGAATTTGCAACTCTTTAGTCGTTTTATAGATAAATAAACATATATATATATATATATATATATATATATATATATATATATATATATATATATATATATATATATATATATATATATATATATATATATATATATATACATATATATATATATATATATATATATATATATATATATATATATATATATATATACATATATATATATATATATATATATATACATATATATATATATATATATATATATATATATATATATATATATATATATATATATATATATATATATATATATAATATATATATATATGTTTATTTATCTATAAAACGACTAAAGAGTTGCAAATTCCTTAAACATAACATATTTGTCATAAGGTTTGTCTACTTTTTAAAACCTTTTTATCCTTACTATTTTTTTTTTGAAATTTCAAAGCAATTATTACTTTCATTAGCTGAAATAAAACACCCTAAACTCTATATATGTCTATATATATATATATATATATATATATATATATATATATATATATATATATATATATATATATATATATATATATATATATGTTTATTTATCTATAAAACAACTAAAGAGTTGCAAATTCCTTAAACATAACATATTTGTCATAAGGTTTGTCTACTTTTTAAAACCTTTTTATCCTTACTATTTTTTTTTTTGAAATTTCAAAGCAATTATTACTTTCATTAGCCGAAACAAAACACTCCAAACCTTGATAATTTTTAAACTGTAAACAGTATCTCCTAAATTTATATATATATATATATATATATATATATATATATATATATATATATATATATATATATATGTATATATATATATATATATATATATATATATATATATATATATATAAACAGAGCTTTGTCTAGGGGGCTCATTTGCAAATTTAAGGGCCCTTTTACAAATGTGTGGATTTCTTTTTATTTAGCATTTTAATTTAGAATTTTTCTAATTTATTAGAAAAGTTTTTAGGAATTTTAGGCCCCTTATGACAGGTTTTTTTTTTGAATGGGAGGGGGGCTTGTATCTAGTAGCCACGGCTCAATATAAAAGGTGTATACAATATATATCAAATTATATACAATATGAATATAAAAATATATTTATTTAATAATTTTATAATTTATATATCAGTAACTAAAGGAATGTTATCAAATTATTATATGAAACATAAGCATGTGTTTATCTATTACAAGTATATTTTAAAACGTTGTAATAAACGTCGATTATAAAATTAAATGTTATGTTTTTCTACTTTCTATGGTGAAAATTACATATTTTATCTGAAGAGTGTTGGGAGAAATCGTTAGCGTTTTATAACATATTAAAAATAATGCATTTGTTACCTAAAACATTTAAAAGTAAC